TTCATCGTAAAATCTTAATATGGTGTCGGATAGTCACATTACTCATCATCATTAAGTTGATAATAATTCAACAGGTTCGTTATGTGGTAATAACAACAGGTAATGCTGATCCTGTTCCTATGTCGCCCCCTCTCAACAAAGACGGTAAAAGGTGGGCACTTGATGTAATTTTCCGTTTCATTCCACTTTATTATTGCATCATTTACTCTTAAATAGAGAAAATTATGACGAAAGATCATTATGAGAAGTAATTTTCAATCTCTTTTTTATTGAACTCAATTTATCGAAAAAAGAATCTGCCTTTTTAAAACCACAGTCCTCGTCATTTCGTATCGGGACTCGGAATCTATCCAGATATTCCATATTCATTACATTAGTCTGGGAGAAAATGATACGTACATGTCATAAAGGAAGCATTTCGCATGGCAAACAAATTTTTCCGTAGCTCTGTAAAACCCGACAGCTGTACTTCGAGGACACGTTCTACCCCGACCACAAACCAGGAAACGGGAATTCAATCTTATCTCCATCCTTGTCCTCGCGCAAGTCGCACGTTTTTGGCAATCGCCAAGAGTTGTCTCGCTTTGCTTAATATTACTGACGGAGAACTTGACTTAGGATAAAAACACGTGCACTGGAAGAAATATTGAGTATGTGCATGTATATTTTTTTTTGAAATACATGCACATACTCAATATTTACATCAACTTCCAGTTCGTGGATAAAAAAAAAATGAAAATACATGTAGTTTAAATCATATTCTAATCTATATTGCATACATCACAATGACTAACGTCAAAACGTTCCATTCAACTTTAAACTCAGACATTTTTGATAGAGAAATTGTGTTATTTCCTTTACTTTGTAATGGAAAATTAATTATAAAGAAAAAAATAATAACCTCCTAAGTATACTAGTAGGGTATACTGGATTGGTACAGATCACGCTTTTGTATAAAATATAATGAAGTGTCGAAATAAAACTTTATAACAAGGAGAGACCCTACGGTGAATTTATTTTTATTTGCATATATACAGTGTATATCTTTATGAAATGTTAAGGAAAACTCAAAACAGACAGGGTATAATTATATAAATATTTTGATGAAAACTTTTTATTACGATAAGTATTAAATTATATTTATAGAACTTGAGAAATTTAAAAATGAAATTAAATTTAAATGATAATTGTAAAAAATAGCATTTCGAGAAAAGAGTCTTGAAATTTTGGATAAAATTTTGTTGAATATCCCGGTTATATCCTCAAGAGATAAAATCATGCATTGATTTCTTTTCATTGCCTCGTAATAATACGTAAAAAGGTCAAATAAGGTATAACTCAATCAAACATAGGCCATATATAGTCTTTATATACATGTTTTATGAATATGTTATTTTTTAAAATTATATTTAAAATCTTAATATTTTGTCTTATACCTTTTAACACTAGATGTATTCAACATTGATTAAAACTGCTTTTTATTAATTTAACAAAAAGTACACTAAATAAACACTTCAATTTAATATACGTAGAGAGATTTATTCGAATTAAATAAAATCGGAGTTATGCCTCTTTTCTAAAGTAATGCAACACCTTATACCGTATACGATTTCCGTTTATTGCATTTCCTTAGATATTTTCCTGCAAATATTTTGAAGCTGTTATTTTTCATTAATGAAAAAAAGTTTATGTCGTAAGAAGTTTGAGGTTGAGTCCATATTTTCACTAAATTGACTGGGCTGTAAATATACCTTTTCGATTAAAATTTCAGAAGACTATCGATCTACAGTTTATAGTATGTGGTTTGAGAATTGAACTTTTATAGTCTTTGGAAAACAATTTAACAAGGGCACCGCAAAGCAGAGCATATCTATAAATCAAGGCAGCATACGATCCCGATGCAATTTCGACACTTCCGTTTTGCACAGGACACACTAACAAACACATCATCGTTACTATTATATCCCCTCCAACTCCGTGGCGAGGGGATAATAATACTACCCAGCTTCAAATTCTGATGCTTTAGGTATTCAATTATTGTAGCATGTACATGTGTACAAAACGTTTATGCGATCACAAAGGCCTATCTATTTTACATGTAAATAAGGTTCCAGTATTTACTTGTGCGTGTAACCTGCTTAAAACAATATAATCTGCATGTTGGACATCGGAAAATTTTGTTGCAAATTTGTAATGAACTATTTCAATGACAGAAAAACATCTTCGCTGGCCAAGGGTTTCTGATTTATAAACTTCTGTTGTTCATAAATCGATGGAAAAACTTTTTATAAGCTCTGATTGAAGCAAAATTGCATTATTGTCATCCTGTACAATAATGACTTCTTATGCAACACTGTATAACATTTTAAAACTTTATTTTGGTCTTTTTTGTCGTAAGGGTTTAAATAACATACAAATTATCATAATAACATGTGTATTTAACCAGCAAAATACTAGTAAAATTCTCGAAAATGCAGTTCATATTAATGAGGAATTTTTTCCATTTCTTATTAGAGAAAAAAATCATCATTTGAACTAAAAAAAATGATTTTGATTCTAAGATACATTGATAAAAATTATTTCTGAGACACTAAGGAAACGCTGGAAGAGAGAAGTATCGCGAGATTTTGAGGCACGAGACTTTAACATAACCTGACTTGTGTCAAGTCCTGCGTGCCGTGGCTGATAGCGAAACCATTAGCGGATGAAGTGCACACTTCAGGAGAATTAATTCCATCAATCGCTCTATAATCTATTCCCAAGGTACAAATTCTCCAAACTTTTACCCGCAAATTAATATCACTTTGATAGATGCGTGCAGTGCACTATGTTTTTCTGAGCTCGACAGATGATGAAATGCAGAGAAAACATTTTTTTAGTAACAAGTAAATTCTGCAAATTTTAATCTTGTTGAAAGAAATGTATGTTTATTGTCTTTACTAGCTTAAAATATGTTGTAAAATTTTTTTAAAATTATCTAATAAGGCCGATAATAATTTCTGTCTGATATTTGAAGTTAACTCCAGTGTGAAACTGGTCCATTTCCTTAACTTCATGTTCCTTCGCTTAATAATACGCGGAGTAACCACACCTCTTCATGAAATCGTAACTCTGCATCATAGGCATCGACATAATTGGCTGTAATCGCAGCAGTAAGTTAGTTTTTGTCCTCCGATTAAAGGTTCAATTGCTAGATTTTTGACTTCATCAACTCACGCACGACTTTTTGTGTTGGCTGTGATGAGCACGTGCATGCACGATGAGGTCTTAATTATTACACACAATAGACGTTCATATAAATTGCTACCGTATCAAATTCGTTCTTGTTTGCAAACCCAGGACACGTGCAAGTAAAGTCTATGATTTGCAGTTGACGAGTAAACTAGACCACGTGATTTTGTACCGGAAGGAAATTGTCAATTTGACTGACGTTAGATGACTAATTCTGAATTTCCTCTCACTTCCGATGATGAACTCAAATTGAAAATGAGAAAACAAATTAAGCAGATAACAGCGGCATTGATGTTGCTGATTGGCCACAAAACAAACGGTTTACTTTCTCTTTGGACAAACTTCAATCCCATTTCAAAAGAGACGTTTCTCCTCTCATTTACAAGAAATAACGTCAATAATTCCCCAACTGCCTACCGTCATCTTAACACATTATTTACGTGGTAATTAGATTTTTCTTGACATTACTTTTAGCAACGAGAGAGCAGGTGTTTTGTAATCCCGACCGTCTTTTTCCCAAACAACTTCTTTAATTTTCTTTTTAAAAAAAATCAATTTTTAAAGAAAAAAATATTGTACAATTTGAACTTTTCTCCATATTTTTGTTTTAAGTTCTTGCAAGTTAACATTTCAGATCATAATTGTATATATTGTTTTTATTTTAATCTTAGTTTTACACAATCTTCTTAATAAAAGGAAGACTGAAAGAAAATCAGAACTAAATCACAGAAACACAAACACACGCGAAATACTTAATTTTTTATGAGCTTGTCTGCAAGAACTAGGGTAGATATTAAAAATTTATAATGATCTGTAGAATGAGCGTTCATTGACCATTTCATGCTTACAACCAGCAATAGGTGATCGATTCTTACTACAAACAAATATCCTTTGAATCGCATTGAAATTAAATTTGAACATGTGCACTTAAAACAGGGTAGCGTGTTCCAAAAGTTTACTTCATGTTTAAACAACGTACGTTCTTATGAAGAAAATTGATTTTACGGTTAAGGAAGCCTTTGATAAAACAAAGAAATAATCTTATTTAGTTTAAAGGATCAGGAATCAATTTTTAAATATTTTTCTTTATCGATCAAAATTAAGAATTAGGACTACAAGAGAAAAAAATAAAAAAGGCAAACAAGGAAAGGAATATGGATTCGAGGAAAAAAGCCCAATAAAACGGCAATGTAATATCATCAGCGCTCCAAATAAAGAAAGACAATAATCGGAGAGTTTGACATTTAATGAAAATGTCGGAGACCATCTCTCCAATTTCAGCGGAGACGGTCTGGAGCGATGTCGGACTCCGCTTTGGTAATTTCTGGGGATATAAACCTCGGTCTGACTGCCGGAGTCCTCGTCTCCCCTGGTGTGTTTTTCCTCCTTCATCAGTTAACGGCTCGTCCCCAATTCTAAAGCTGTCGTGCGGCTAATGAGAATAAATTATCCCCTGTCTAAACGGCTGGAAAAATTCCTCTGAAGATTCCTTGTCACCTTTGATAAAAAAAATTAAAACAACCCATCAATTAAAAAAAACAATATTAAAAGGATTCCTAGAGACAAAATTCGAGGAAAAGGTATCCAAGTGAAGAGAAAGCTTTATGATTTTAAGATACCGAGAATAAAGTCGTTGGAGTCGAAGTTCAGCCCCCTGGCAGTCATAGAATTTGTATCGGAGCGGAGTTTTATTGGCTACAACAACTTTTATGTTAATGAAAAAGAATCATTTCTAGCTTAAAATATAATTTGTCCATAATAGTGGCCTTTTAAAGGGAGCATGCGCCTCTAGTTGATGAATTAGTAAACCCACGTGACTCAAAATAACAGAGAACAGGTGCCTGGTGAATGAAGCGCTCAATAGTAAAATGTAATATCAATTTTCTCTGCCATAGACATATATTCCTCTCTCTCTCTCTGTCGACTTCAGGATCGTAAAAGTTATATTGGAGTAGCACAAATCCAGCCCGAGGCCGCTGGTCGGCCTATCCAGAATCCACGGAGTGCCAAACAATGATGAACACTAAGCAAGGAGTGGGGTTATCCTCCTTAAACCCCGGTCATGTTTCGGGAGGGAGGTATTCTCCGCCCTACAGACCCCCCGACCGTATGCGCTGTGTGACGGGGAATACGGTACGTGTTGGCCCGACCTCTTCGCGTTAGTGAAGGCTCCTTTCCTTTGACGTCTTTCATATTTTATGAAGCTTGTGTTTTTATCTTGACATTCTTGTGTTGAGAACTAATTTACCTGAGTACGAGATATCAATAAAAGCTGGGACCAATGTGTTCCTGCTTAAACAGCATCAATTATTTATCGCAGTCATTGATACTTATACTGACATTACTTTGAAATTATTTCATTTGCTTGGGACTGATTTTAAATAAAAACAGAGAAAGGAGAGGTCTTACTTTTAACAGGTATGTTTAATTTTTTTCTTTCACCATGTCTTACGGATATTTGTTTATTTTCAGGGTAACTTTTTTGATGATGGCATTCTGTCGCGAGCAGAGGTTTTGGCGGCTGTGGACATTCCAAAACAGTCATCACAAAACTTAATGAAACATGATGGACTCTATGGTCACACTGCCGACTTAGGGGGGCACAATGTCACCCCACCACGACACCAAATGCAAATGAACTGTCACACGGGCTTTGGTCCCGGGGACTCAATGTTAGAGCAGTTAACAACAAACCACGGGATGTCGCTTGGTGGAATGCCGGAGAACCACTACAGCATCGCTAATTCTATACCACACAGTCACCACCAAATGTTCCAGCCAAGTGTCTGTACCAACCTTAACGCCATGGGCGGCCACCACACATTCCCCGGACATCACCCGGTACACCACGCTATACACGACACGGAATGTGACCCGCGCGAACTGGAAGCATTTGCCGAAAGATTCAAACAACGCCGTATCAAATTAGGGGTCACACAAGCGGATGTTGGGTCTGCATTGGCGAACCTTAAACTTCCAGGCGTAGGATCTCTAAGTCAAAGCACAATTTGTAGATTTGAATCACTGACATTGAGTCATAATAACATGATAGCACTGAAACCTATTCTTCAGGCCTGGTTGGAAGAAGCCGAACGGCAGGCGAGGGAAAGAAAGGAAGCGGAAGCTGGCGGTCTAGCAGCTGAACGGAAGCGAAAACGTACCTCAATAGCAGCTCCGGAAAAACGGTCACTGGAAGCATATTTTGCGGTGCAACCAAGGCCCTCTGGTGAAAAAATTGCCCAAATTGCAGAAAAATTGGACTTGAAGAAAAACGTTGTCAGAGTTTGGTTTTGTAATCAAAGACAAAAGCAAAAGCGTATGAAATTTTCGGCCGTTGCCCCTCATTGATAACATCTTATGAAAATTCAAAATTGACGTTTCATACGCATAAAAGGCACTGATTGCGTTTGTCTTGTGCACAATATTTCGCTGACAGTGTCAACCGAATGGTCTCCCCTTGGATCACTTCCGGTCACGGTCAGTATTTTGTGCTGAAAATTTCGGGTACTAACTGATATGAATTGTGTTAGTATGCTGGTAAATTTTATGCTATTTTGAATACCTATAAAATTTTATTTATACTTGGTAGTGTGTGCGTGCATAACAACCAACACTTGGAAGAAAACAATGTTTCTGTCAATGTGTTGAACGTGTCACATTTTTATACAAATGGTTCTACGTATTATTACATTAATTAACAAACCTACTTAATAATTGAATATTTATTTTATGTTTTAATGATTATTGTAAATATTGTGTGATATGTTTTAGAAATGTTATTTATTTTTTTAATTTATTATATTTATTTACTTCTTATTTATTACCTTTGATTCTGTCTCATTTATTGTTGAAAGCGTTCAGGAAAATCAATTTTTACTAATGATGCAAACCATTCAACATTGCTTTCTTTTCTTAAAAAAAGAGCAAATCGAACGGACTTTAAGAGATGGCTAACTATGGTCGTTAAAAGAAAAAGGATATTTATTGAGAACCAAGAGCAGACGGAAACATTAAAATTTTGAATTATAATTAAAGTCTAAGCAATATTTGGAAAAAATGTCTTTGTATAAGTTTTATTATAATCAGTCTGATTATTTTTATATAAATAATTATTCTTGCTGTAAATTAATACGCCGTTTTCTGGTGTCATAAAAGAAAACCATATATGTTCAAAGAATTGTTTTATTGAAATGAAATTTTAAAACCGTTAATAGATTAAGATGAAGGTAAAATTGCCGTTAGTATTATGTTTGATGTCGGCATTAAGCGTCAGAGTCAACTTTCCATGCTATAAAGCGAGTTTAATTCTGTTATTAAGTGACAAGAACCGTCTATTTCGCTAATACAAATGGAAACAATATCATTAAGTGCGTAGACATTAGGGGATTATTGTTGTGTTTCATTGTCCAGAAGTAGAACACGACACATCAGTGGCTGTACCCACGGGCGGGCACCTGTCGCTCTACCCCCGGGCGGGCACCTGCTGATGATCACGCCGATCTCCATAACACCTTTCTTATTTGTTTGTTTTTGTTATATAACAATTGTTGGTGTATACAAATGAAAACTGATTTCATCAATTGATTGTGTATTTCATTTGAAAAATAAAAAAAATGAGAAACAGATTTTTTTCTTTCATTAAAATTGCAGTTATGTTTTTACTTTTGGTCTTAAAATAAAGTGTATTGGTTATGATCAGTGAAATAATTCAATTAAAATTGATACATACGTGCTACTTCTAATCTGAACTTTGTGAAATAACTTTATCAAAGTAAATTCTTATTACAAATAATTTATATACTGAATGGATTAGTTTTGCATTTTTATTAATTATATTTCAATTAGAAGGCTATTTTTTATAGCATGAAAAAATAAGATATGAATATTGTACACAGCAAAAAATAAGAAACACGTCTTTAAAATGGAGAAAATTATTCTTGAAAGTGTTTTATATTTTGAATGAAAAATAAATATTGGGAAAAATTAAAGGGCTATCTTTAAAATTATGAAAAAAAATCTGTTTGAAAAACTCTGAATATCTTTTTTGTATTGAATGAAAAATTTGATTAACAAAGAAAACAACAAGAATAGCCCCAGAAAAAAATAGGTGAAGTTTTTGTATTCATTATATAGAATGAAAAAAACAAAGTTTCTGTACTTACATGTATTGGGACAGGCAATTGGACAATTAATCAAGTGAAAGAATAAATAAATAATCTCTTTAATGGACTGTATGTATTGTCTATATGGACTTCAAAATCAACAAACAAGAGTGTCCATTTGTCAGTTGATGTTAAAAACAAACAAACACACAGACATAGTTATTTATGCAGGTACTGGATTAAAAATAATAAGTCACTGATGACTGTCTGCTTACCAAGGACCTGTTTAGATCACTTTCTATTTTATTACAAAAAGAAAGAAAGAAAAAAGATAAATATTTCAAACGAGGATAAAAAATGTCAATTGTTGTACCGACTGTACAGAGAAAGATCCAAGAAATCTGAATAAAACAATAATTCTAAAAAAAAGACCGAAGAATGTTGATCATTTCAGATTTGTCAGACAAAGACGTTTGATTGTTTTGTTTGTGTTGTGTTTATTCTATTATTACCAAAGATGAGAAAGTAAATAAACAATTACACGAAAGTCAACAAAGCCGACTTCAGAATCAATCCTTAGTCTCAGAGCCGTATCGATTTCCATTGGCAAGTGGGCGTGTCCTCATCTGATAACGATAATAAATAACGGATACATTATACCAAATTATACCTTTCTTAAACATTACACAATTTTGTAACAAAACTTATTGTTATGAAATGTATTGGATATACTTTTTTAAATAAAAAAAAATGTTGCATCCCCCCTCAATTATATACCGAATTTATACTTGATATTGAAATGAAATTCAGTTTATATAATTAATTCACAGATACAATGTAAAAGCTTATGACTCGTCAAGAATTTGCTCAACGGTGTTTATCCCTACAGGAAAATAAATGGCGAGGTCTACCAAATAAGAATTAGCATTGTAATTTCAAAATTGTGTCTGCTAATGCAGATAGCTATATGTACCTCTGTTGTCTTTTGCAAATTTTAAAAATGCCTCTACAACTTCTTCAAACATCTCGTCTTTGATGTTGAATGTAGGAAAGTTTTAATGCTGATTACTCTAAAATATAGGATTTTATTATTCATAGTTATTTAATCAACCAAGGACCTTTTTTAAAATCATTACAATTTAAATTACATACATTACGTATATAAAAAATATACAATTTCAATTTTGTGACAATAACTATTTTAATCTGGAGGGATAAGTAAACTAAAGTAAATAAATAAATAAATAATACCCTTTCCGACAAAGACACTTTACAGTTGTGAAAAAGAATAACAGGTATATTACAGGTATATTCATTTTCATTCTGTATACTGGACCGACTTCACACTATAAAGCTGGGATAGACCTGCAACATGTCACTCATTTTAAAGCTGTTATGAAAGAAATAAAATATATGAAAGGTCGCAATTCTCGAGGCATTACAATCACCTGTTTACAAAATTCCTAACGTTATTGATTTTATGGAGGAATAAAAAAGCATTTGTTTGTTCATCTATGTAAATCAAATGGGAAAAAATGCACCGCCTGCAACATGGCGACGGATAAAAAAAATCGATTTCTTTTGTTTATTTGTTTTTTTTTAAGTAAGCACAAACAATGAAATCATAGTCACATTTTCATATATCATGTACTGCTACACTGTTTTGTAAGGAATTCATTTTTGTCAGGAAAAATACCTACATATCGCTACATTAACATTTTTGTGTATTTAATCTGCAGAAATATGTAATTTTATTTCAGCTAAATTAAACCAGAAAACATAGAAAGCATTTATAGCACGAGGCAATATAAGGGATAATCTCTGATAAATAATAATAGTTTGATGACATTTTTAGGTTAAAAAATATATAATCAAAATTAGTTAAAATTTTATAAAAATAAAATTTATGAGATAGTATTTTAAAAAAAAAATCATTTTTAAAAAAAAGTTTTAAAGAAGAAATGATTTTGTTTTATAGTTTTAAATTGTCCATGCTAATAAGTAGAAGGAGAAATGCATGCACACTTCAAATTCATAATATAAAACTTCATAATATAAAATCACATTTTCTAAATAAGTTTAGTATTAGATCGGTTGATTAATTTATATTCATATTGCAATATGTCTGCCTAAAAATATTTTTTCAAATAAGAATGTAATGCCATAATACAATATAATTCAATATAATTTATATATAAATTGTCGAACGAATGTTTATTGTCTAGAAAGAACCTTTACTTTAATGGCAACTTAATTGTCCGGGCTTTATATATACATGTAAACTCAAATAATATTAATCTTTTTACGTCCAAATAGAAAATGATATTGGACATCCTTCGTTCTCTGCAACTTTGATGAGACGACTTGCTGAGGGGAACACGACGGGGAACAGACGATCTTAGAACTGAGATCCGGGATTGTTCTAACGAGGGGTACACGACAGGGAACAGACATGGAGCGATATTATAGACCTGAAGCCCCTGTTTGTTTTTACTGAGGAAATACTAGTAAATCCGGAATTGTTCTGACTGCGATGTGAGATGTGGAATAAATATAAATGACCCAAGGACGAATTGATTTATTAATTATCCACTAAAAGCGAAAACACTGTACAAAATCAAACTTCTGATTATATATATGGGACCTTAGATGTGTGAAGTTACTACTTCAGTAAATAAATTTAAATAAATGCGCTTATTCGAAAAATCTTGAGTTGAGATAGCCATTATATTCCATTTCGGAAAACTTAAAAAAAAATAGATACTGAAAAAATTACCTTTGATATAACAAGAAAAGTAAACTCAGGTGACGAATTCATAATTGCTTTCTGTTTTCGTCATCATTTACATCATTTGATAATTTACAGCTTCTTCTCTGCAACCGTTCAACCAATTTCAACCATTAGCATCTAGCATCTATAACTTAAGGGGAAGAAAATTTGTGAATTTTATGTTCCCTGCTGGGGCTTGAAGGATGGGACCAAAACCACTAAAATTAATGTCATCTTTAAAAATCTTCTTCTTTATTCCTGGAAATAGAGCAGTAAAACTGTTGGCATGATTGTATAATCATTGAGTCTTCTACCAAAATTGTGAAATTCATGGACCCAGGGTCAGGTGTTTTTAGTGCTAGGGCTGGGGTATATGTGTTATATGGTGAAAATACATTATTTCTTTCAAAATATTCTTCTATGCTTTATCTGGATATAAAACAAACAAGCTTCATGTATAGTTATGACAAATAAAGGTGCCTCTTCCGAAATTTTAAATTTTATGGTCCATAGGTCAAGGATTCTGGTATTAGAGTGGGGCTCTATTGATTATATAGTTAAAATGCATTAATTCTTCTTTTTTGCTCCTACATACATATTTATGATGAGGTGCCTCTTCCAAAATTATGAATTTCATGACCCCACGGTCAGGGGTTTCTGGTGTTAAGGCGTGAATATACTAGTGTAAATTATATATTGAAAATGACCCCACGGTCAGGGGTTCTGGTGCTAAGGCGTGACTTTATAAATTATATATTGAAAATGCGTTAATTCCTTAAGAATTTTCCTCTATGCTCCTGCGTATTAAAAAAAAAACTAACTACATGCTTAGTTAAGATGAGCAAGGGCTGCAGGCCAGGGACTCTGGTGTCGGGCGGGGCTCTAATGATTTTATGGTGAAAAATGCATTTATTCTCTGAAAATCTGCTCCTTCGTGTTAAGCAGATGAACTACCCATATAGTTATAATGAGTTAGGATCATTCTACCAGAATTGTGAATTTAAAGGCCCCTGGGTCAGGGGTACAATTTGAGGGGGGGGGGGGCTCTAATAATATAACTGAAAATGAAAATGAATTATTTGAAATCTTCTTCTTGGTATTAATCAAAGATTTTATGATTGGCAAGGGTGTCTTTTCCAAAATTGTAAAATGTGATTAGTTGTTCAAAATGCATTTTTTTTGTTCCTCTACACTGTGGGTAGGGCTGCAATCGTGTTCATTGTTTCTAAACCAGATGGTAATTTTGAGTGATCTTCTACCCCCCAAAATATTTTCTAGGAAACAATTTGAAACTCACAAGAAACTTTTTTTTTGCTATTATTGCAAATAGATTTTTCAAAATGTCTATGAATACTTACAATTGTCATTTACACAGATAAAAAAATTAACCAATGAATTTAAAAAGAAGTAAAGGCTTGACAAGGTGTCATTCAGATAACGGAATTTCCTTTCGGAAGACCTTCATGAATACATCAAAAGATTGCGATAAGAAACGTATTATCGCCGAACCACAAAAACTTAGTAAATCGATTGAGTCCCGGCGATCTTGTTAAGTGGATAGTGTGTGTCAACTAGAAGGTGATAGGCTTTGTAAAGCGCTCATTTCGTGTCGATCTGATAACGACAGACATATGGCGGATTGTCCAATATCTCATTTGTTCGCGCGCCGGGTGCGGGACGGTCGCGTGCCAGCTTTCAATCGGGTATGTTCACTGGAGCGGAACCGATCTGTAACATATCAGAGATACTTGAA